ATAGAAATCTCGAGTTCGTGATAAATTGTTATTAATGCAGTGGCTGGAGGTCGTCTATAAAATAGTGATGTTTTCTCATTTTGCAAAGTTACGGAAGAACAATTAAGGTATCATGGTAGGTGGATTGACAGTGCGCTCTTACGCTGGCGCTTTGAAAGAACACCCCATCAACCTATACATTTTCTGAAAGCTTAATAGTTATAGAATACAATCATATCTTTGAAATTTTCTAAAAGTTATTGTCGCAGTGATATTAAGAGAAATACCTAGAAACACTGCTTCGCTGAAACTGGTTCGCTTCCGCGCGTGAATTATCGGAGCGGCGCGATTTAGATCTCACACATCACCTTCAAAAATCGTGTCTGCGATTTTCCAGTGATTGTTTTTTTTTTCCTACACCCTCCTAAACTTTGATATTTTTAATGTGGACGTTTCCTTCTACAAAAGAGGCCATAACTTTGAAACGGAAGCGAAATTAAACAAAGTCCGACACGGTTTTTCGAAGGAGGTATCCTAGAACATACGTGCCGATTTTCAGCCAATTCCATCAGAAGACGCGCGTAAACGAACTAAAAATGTTCATCCTTATATGCAGTTGTATTTTATCGAGAAAAACACGAAAAACCCTTTATGAGATTTGTATGAATAGGTGTTAAGAATCCCCTCCGCACTGACAGATATCGGCATGGGTCAGTTTACCACAACAATGGGTTATGACAATATTGATTGATTGATTGATTGATTGATTGATTGATTGATTGATTGATTGATTGATTGATTGATTGATTCATCGATCGATCCATCGCTTGAACTGTTGATTAACTATTGATTTGTTTCATTGACTGATTGGTTGATTAACTGAATATATATTTTTCTTTTTTAAGAGAAAGGAAGGAGATCTTGTCTATGCCCAACTAGCTGATTTTGATAGTGCGAATAACGACAAAACAGCACAGAAACCGCCCAGTTACGAACCCACGGTGTACGCTGATGTTGACGTGGTGCCACCCGAAGTGTTCAACTCCACCAGTGTGGACTCCACCCAACCGACCTACGCAAATGTACAGACGACTGGAGTGTAATTTAAATGCTCGGTATTTAGCTTCCGTAAACTGTGTGCTTAGAAAGCCAGCAAAAGCACTTTTAATAGGCCTGGTTTCGCAGCTCTGTTAGACCACTGGCTAGTGCCAACGAGAAATAGCGTTTATTTAGCAATGTAATGATCGTAATTAATATAATTAGAATAGTTCTATAAGAAGGCGACTTGTTTATGTCTAAGCTAAGCGTTTATGTCTTACCACATTTGACGTAGTGGTTATTTCAGTTGGTGTGGGAGAGGAAACATACGTGGCTCTCTATTTTGGTAACGTAAGAAACAGTTATGTAGCGATAGACCTGCATTAACCTGACTGATAACGTAAGTATAGGCTCTGGAGTAAAGTCTTTATTAAACAGTAACGAGTGTCAGCCATGTTTAAGAAATAAGTTGTGTCCAGTCTGTGAATTAAACTGCTTTCTATCGCTCCGGCCGGTTTGGCTCTCGTTAGAGACAGACAAATCATGCACATACCAGAGTGTTACCGCCTGACGGATACATCATGCTTCCGAGTGAGCTACTAACAAGTTGATAGTGTGTGGAATCTTGTTATTTAAATACCACAGTTTAGAGAAACTAGTATAACTTCTTCAGGACGCGACTAAGCCTGCGCGTTGATAGACCAGCGGCGTTGTTCTACCAACGCACACACTGGCGACAAACCCTATTTTCCAGAGTCGTACCCCAGCACGTGACTTTACTTACGAGAATGGCCAATTTTATAGCTGAATTAAAATGCGAAATAAACCGCCCAAGCTAAATGATGAATGTTTCTATCAATATCTCTTTTCTTTGTTTAAGTGCGTAGAAAAATATTTGGTAATAAAGAATTAATTATACATTAAAATATATTTTTATAATGTTTATAGACTAGCCAATATTTTAACGGACATTTTCGAGAAATTTCATAAGTGTTTCCCTCAAGTTTTTCGTAGTTTTTGCAGTTTTCAGGAAACATGATAATGAAAGCATGTAGAAGACTGTGTAAAGCCAGTAATACTGAATAATAATAAATAGTGTTTTAAACCCGACTTGCAATAGTTGTGAGGAAACAGCGACAAAATGTGAAGGAAATGGTAGAGTGAATTATTTTGATGTACAACGTGAAACTTGTGTGTTGTCCTACTTGGAGGTGTTATTCCAAACTGGTTTACTTTCACTGTCAGGGGAATAGCTCAAAATTGGCCAATACCCAACTTCTCTTTCCAATTTTTACAACGATTTGTCAATAAAACGCTAAACAATTTATGAGAATCGGAAAATATCTTAAACTTAACTCAGGACTAAGCCGGAGATATTGTCTTGATGTACTTTACCATCAAAATGTCTTAAAAACATGTCTGAACAAAGGTTGCGAGGTAATCTTCTCAGTCTCGGTTACGTTGAATCGCCGAGCTCGCGAAGCTTCAGCTTTGCACTTCTCGTCTGTATGTCAGGAGGAACGCGGCAAGCTCTAATAAGGGATTGGAGACGCCCCCTCCCCTCCTCCCCACAAAAATTAATGATGACATAATAGAAATGTTGTTTGACAGATATAACGCTAAAAGATTGGCCCTCCTTCAGTTCATACCAGAGGCTGAGATCAAAACGGAATTTGTCAGTGATCATCTCTTGAATTGTTCAACCCCCACGTAAAACTTTGTTTTTCCCCTGTGTAGCGAAATCGAAACAATTTCCGTGCTTACTTTTCACTCATTCCGGTAACCGTTCAAGGAATCACGTTCACGCAAGGTACTTTGTCACTGACATTCACACCGTAATTAAATGGCCAACAAACTGCTGAAACTGTACGTCGCGAGATAAAAGCCAGCGAAGATTATGCAAAATAAAAGCATTCACGCCAAAGAAAGGAGACTAGAAACTGAAATTGCCGAACAATCTTTGAAAACCCCCCTAGCCAACCACAATATTCAACTTTCACCTTTGTGCTGACGGAAACAGTCCACCTACGTTCACGTTTAAGTTTATGTTTGAGAGCTATGTGACACTTTTAAGACAAGTCATCCGCGACATAACATTTTCAACTGCTTGCTTCATTAAAGCAGGAAGTCCAAACATTGATCCGTAGTAGGCATATAACGTGCCGGGATACGTTATCAACTGTATATATTTACACCGTCTAGCTGGAGGAAATCATCGATGTCTTATTCTCCCAGAAGAATGGATATCTCTAATTCTGGCAGCTTGTTTTCCATCCTGATTCTTGAGCTTGTTTTTCTTCAAGGTACACTTATAACAAGTAAGTCTTTATCGTGTTAAGTACCATGACAGCATTATTTAGTATAATATATACCATTCCAATTATAGAGATATACGCCATGAAAGGAATCCTGGCTTACACTTGACAATCTGTTACGGCGCTTCTAGAACTAGGTACACTGTGAATGATAAATGCGAGACTTTGCGAAAAGGCGAGACTACGGTTTTTCTTCTCGAGCTTGAGACATTTTTATCTTTTCAAAATGCGAGATCGAGACGTTCAGACGTACTTGCCTCCTCAGCAGGGCGATTACAAAAATATATGTATAAATGCACGGAGATTTGCATGTTGATTACCACAAGTACAGCTTTTACGATTATTGTACCGAGACGGAGTCGAAGTAAATATTCACCAATGTAAACTATCCCTGAAGCGAATAATTGCTGAAGGAAAACTTTTACAGTTGAATATAAAGAACATCGAAAACAGGGAAACAAAGACGCAATCCTTCGTTCGCATTCACTTTTGAGTTCTCGCGTTTAGAAATCGTACTATCTGAATGACCGGCTACCGGTCACATAACCACAGCCGATTATTTACCAGTGAGACCATACGAAACACGTAAACCGCTTTTTTGTTTTTAAATTGGTTTTTGTTTCGCGAAACCGCGGGCTAGTCTGAGAATTAACTGGGAAATCGATAGCGCAAAGATATGAAATTTAGTTCCTTAACCGCGACTACCCATTTTAGAAATTCCAAGAAAATTGCCCTAGATCTTTCATGACACTGTTCACGTGAAATTCAGGAAGTAGATCACTGTCGCGATCGGTATTGGGCCTAGCTGATTACTGAGGAAATCTTATTAGGTTTGTGGTGTGCACATTTTTAGTTATAAAAGAAAGGAAAAAAAACATCCGCGAAGAATACATGGACATCTAGGTTAAGTTCCCTTTTGGGATATACATGTAGATGTACAGTAAAATTGCCAATTTATATTAAAGAAGCTACGTCACGGTTTGTACCTCTTGAAAAGTTTAGCCTGAATTTTTCAAGTTCTTTGTTTGCAATCTGCGTTAATCTTCTCCATACTCAGCCCTCCTCGGTTCTTTTATGGTTTAATTTTGTTATTTCTTTGGTGTTTTGCTATCTTAGTAAACAGTTATTTTCAGGTTTCCTTCAATTTAAAGTTAATTTTGTACATGGCCAAAATAACTCAAAATGCCGTGGCTAAGCTCCTTTAATCAATACATGCAGTTTATACCTGCTGCATTAAAATCGATCAAATGTTTGGTAATCAAACCCAATAAACTGACTTCAGTCGTTGAATTGATGTTGACTTGGTTCGGCAATCAATCGAACACAATCAAACTGACTTGAAAATCTAGCCAATTGAACACAATCAAGTGTTCAGTAATCAAACCTTTATGCAGTCAAACACAATCAAACTCTTGAAGTTTGATTGGGATCTGAATATCCAATTGACTAAGCCATTCATTCAAAGCCAGTTTCGACAGGTTTTCAAGTTATTTGTGCGGTCGTGACCCACGACAACATTAGTATATCCACGTCATTGAAATGTGTGGAGCTTATTGATATTTGTGCGTCTTTTTTTTTTTTCAAACTAAATAGTTTGGTACTGTAATTGCCTTTTGTTGTTCAAGTTTGGTTCAAATAACGCCAGGTTCAACTGCAATTTTCCAGTGGAGTTAATTTAATAAATTCTGATAACTGTTGTAAGACGGACTGGTATGCATTTTATACCAGTGAATCTATAATTTTATATTTTACGTGCACAAGGTCAGAAATTGGGTGGAGCCAAAAAGGGGTTACTCTGACTTGCTTTCATGCATGGTTAATAAGTCTAATTTACTTGAATTACTATCCTCTAACGAGATAAGCCATATGTAAAATCAATGTATTCTTTCTCTCTATCTATCTTGATTTTGTTTTGTTTTGTTTTGTTCTGGCAGGAACACAAGCTTCCAGTGGAGGTATGACTTTTATTACTTACACTGTGCACATATATTATTCACGATTCATACAAGTATGTACGTCTGTACGTGTGTCATCTTTGTCAACTCCTGGATGGTCTGGGAATTTCTCAGTTGCAGGCCAGATCTCGTGGTCTCTCATTCGCGTATCATCCGATCTCTGGATGTGATTGTGTGAAGAAACAGCGCTTAACGTTCATTTTTCACTCTGATTTTGTCCACTTTAGGCCATTTTTAAGGGAGAAATATTTGGATAATTCATGCATTCTTTTGTTAAGGACGGTCCCTACTTTTGTTAGTGTGCACACATTCTGCGCATCACGCAAAGCACAGTTGGCATTACCGTAATTAGCTACGCCACCAAGATGAAAGCAACATTTTCCTACTGTGACCAAATCAAGCTTGATGAACCTGTACTAAAACTAGGAATACCAGAATAGCAGCTTATCTTTAACCACTAACTCTAAACGGCTTCCAGCTGAAAAACTAGCTGTGATCTGTCGAAAATTATACTGAAATCCAACAGTAAACATGCACCTACATATGGCGTACTACGCGCGCAAAACAAGTGCCAGAGATGCAAATGTATTACTTACTGGGGAGGTGACAGTAAAAATGTAACGGGCACCGTAATTTCAAAAAAGATGAAAAACTTTAAAAAACGCGTGATTACCCCTACATTTTATGTTATGAGATGGAAGTGACAATTAAGTGTATTCAACACGTGATTAGTTTCTGGTTGCGAGGAAAAGCTATTTAGACTGTATTTTAGCTGAATCAGCGGAAGGCTGTTGCAACGTTTTTTTTGTTTGTTTGTTTGTATGTTTGTTTAAAACATACCAGAAATGGTTTTATATTACCATTTACCATGTAGTTGTAAGATTTTTATAAGTGTGCTTTCTTTTCCGTGTGCAAAGGGGAATTCTAAGGAAATCTGTGAAGAAATATCCTTTCCTTTTTTTTCAGAAAAATGCTGATGTCAGCATTTTTGTTGAGATTCAAGGCTTACGATCTCGAAAAAAATGTGTGGTTACCCCCGTTTATTTGTGGATTCCAATAGCCCTTGCAAAGATCTACTTTTTGCGGGCGGTCCTAATCTTACTTAATATACTGTACATTACCTTCAACAACCTTTTGGTTGCGGTCGGGACGGTAAATTTGTAATCTCCCAGATTTCGAGTTTCTATGTTGGCATCTCTGCTGTGTGACTGCGGTTTTCTTATATTCAGCAATACAGTCCACTGGAAACAGTTTTCTGTCACCTGCAAATAAATCTATTTTAATTTTCTTGAGTACAGTGGAACCCCTCGTGACAACCGCCTCGTTCATTCGGCCACCTTGTTATTACAGCCTGAGATTCATGTGGTGACAGGATTAATAAGGTTGAACCTTGAATTATAAGCGTGCAGTACATGTACACATTTACATTGTACAATTTGTGGCCTTTGCAATACGTACAGTGGAACCTCCGGTTGCGACCACCTTTCGTAAGAGACCACCTGACCTCTCCTCAGCGACCAGTTACCAAAATACCAATAGTCTAAGCCTAATTACTATATTTGAAACCTCTTGTAAGCGACCACCTGTCGTAAGCGACCGCGACCACTTTTAGAGCTAAATTTTGAAATTTAATCACGGGAGGTTCGACTATAATTTAATTTTTCATATTGATATTTGTATACATACATGTAACCATCAGGTTGTTTTACATCCGCGTTTGGCATGGCAAAAAGAAGAATTCCAGACAGGGATATCACAGCATCATCAGCACTGGATGCTGACTCATCTGCTTTTCATGCAAGAGTGAAAAACACAAAAGCATGGATTCCCAGTTCAAATGATAAAGATCCATGGATACAAGTGAATCTACAATATGGGAGAAATATGACTGCTATTGTTACACAAGGCTTCAATGGTTCTTTTGTTAAGTCGTATTACGTGAGTTATGGTGATGACGGAAGTAACTGGATAAACTATACTGTTCAAGGAAAATTAAAGGTACATTTATTTGATATTAAGATGAATATCAAGTTAAAAATAACTAAATTTAATGCTTTTCAGGGTAGAACTATATATATTTTTTGTGCTCGTTTGCAAGTGAGTAAAAAGACTGTAAAATATTATGCTTTCAAATTTGCTAATTTTAGCAAATTTGGAAGCATAATATTATTGTTGTTATCGAAGTCAAGATGATCCAAAAATTTCCTGTAATT